GGGGGGTGAAATTCGATGAATTTTATTATTTTTTAGCCTTTTGCCAATAATTTATGTCTAGGATTGTAGATAAAGTGATAATCCTATCGTTTTAATCCATTGATATTTGAATTATCAAAATAAGCAACTATTTGCCTTCTAGATTCACTTGGTCATGGCGACACCAATATTTCAACTCGTCCGAATTATAGAAATTAGGTCAAAAGTATTTCAGGCTTTTAAAATCGAGATGTCTAATTAAAGAATTCCCACTTGAAATCTCTGAAACTTCTACTAAAGCTAACGTTGTAATACCATCAAATATAGCGAGGGGCATTTTTAGTGATACCCTGTGTATACTGTATTATATACACTTGAATTTGTGGTTAGTTCTTGGCAATTGTAGCTTAGTGGTCAGAGCACGCCACTGCGTGTAAATGGTGTAATCGCGAGTTCGTGGTTCCAGCTGAAGAACTTATTTTAGTAATTTTCACAACCATATGCTTCTAATGCAAATTATTCACTGGTTGTTTACTTGACGTACGTCTTAAATATATTTTCTCTCAAAATTTCCGCCCACGAAAACTGATTGACAAAGAATCCAAGTGTTTTGAACTTCCTGTTGGTTTCTTGGAATGATGTATGCAAATATCATATTACATGTGCCATATATTATGTTGCGCAACAAAAGCTGTCTTTGCGAGTATGAGAATATTGTAAGACAGTATCTTATATATCTAGCCTTAAATCGACTTTCCTGCGAAGATTCGTTAGCATGGATGATAAATCGAAAGAGCAAGAGAATAAGGAATTGGAGGACATCAAAATCGCTTTAGAAAATCGAGGTTATAATTACGAAATACCACTCGGTAAAGGCAGCTATGGTCGCGTAGTTCGAGCCGAACACCCAGTTGATAATCAGAAATACGCCATAAAGCTTTTGCCTATTGTGCACGGCGATGCAGCGAAATACCAGAAACGAGAATTGGACGTACTTACAAAGACTGATTTGTGGCAACAAAATATTGTCAAATATTACAGTTGCTGGCAAATGAACATCGGCAACGATCCGTATCTGTGTATTCAAATGGAGCTGTGTCGGGTCAACTTGGAAGCGTTTGTTTACAGAAACGAAATGGGTAATGCCAATATTGTCCGCGCGCAAGGACCGCCAAGATTTTACCGACAGGTTTTCCCACAGATTTTGAACGGCTTAAATGCTATGCATTCCTTGGGGCTAGTACATCGCGATATTCATATCAGCAATATCCTCATTGCAAATCCAAAGCCAACAGAAATACGTCAGGTTAATATTAAGATCGCCGATTTTGGTCTTGCTAGAGAAATCGGTTCTGTAATCGACGGATCTCCGTCCCTCACGGAGGCTCCAAAGCTGCAAAGGCTATCATCGGGTATAGGGAATGAACTTTTCAGAGCGCCTGAATTGGCAACTGAACATTACGATTACAAAGTCGATTTGTACAGCGCGGGAATTGTGCTGTATTTTCTCAGCCGTTATCTTGAAGATAAAAAGCAATGGAAATCCGAGATTTTGGCACTCAAAAGTGGGGAACGTGGTCGAGAATATTTGTGTCATCGAGACGACGAGATCTTGTTCAGCCTGATTACATCACTATTAGAAGAGGATCCCAAAAAGCGTCCGAGTGCCAAAGAGGCTTTGGATATCCCTTGGACGAACATTCAGTTCGAAAAACTTACTGAACCGACAGTCCCTGACGGCAAACAAAAAGCGAAGAAATTTTATATAAAGATAGACGGTGAGGTTGCCTTGAAACGATGCGTAGTAAACGACGATACCTTGTTTGGTTTAAAAGCAGGGATAGAGAGTTGTACTGGCATCAACGCCGAGTGTCAAGATTTACATCAGGAGACAACTATTAATGGCAAAGAGGAACTGATTGAAGTATTATCTGACCTAGATGTTGTTTGCATGTTTCAGAGTGCCGAAGAAGCTGGGAAAAAAGTCGTTATTAATGTGTCGGAAAATACATTGGAAATGGACGTGAATTATGGCAGTAATCCCGTAGCATTATCTTAGCCCATTGAGTTGCAGCACTCTCCCCTTGACGAGTAAGTCTGACGTTAGATTGAGAGTAAGATAATAAGTAGAGCACGTCAGGGCGCATTGCCACTAAAAGGGTTAAAGAAATAGAAATATTATTTTAAATCCGACATTGAGAACGGAATCAAATTTTATAGTGACTTAATAAAAACCCAGGACTGTTAGACTGAATTCCTTTTGAATTCAATAAGCCAATTTTGAAACTTGAATATTAATAGTGAATATTATTATTATTTAGAAATCGGATGGTCATACGGGGTCCTGCATAATTATCAACATTTTCACAGGCCTTCAGAGAGTTGTCTTTTTCAGCTCGGTCTCTTAAATAGTTGGAGGGTTTTGTAAATGGAAATTATCGAGTGGAAATTCTATATACATTTCCACTCGATAATAGCCAGCTACAAGACCCTTCAACTATTATTCAGTCGAGTGGGATGCCAACAAAATATTGAATCTTGGGAATGATGCAACCTCGTACCCAGGATCTTTCTTTGGGAAAGACCCTGGCTGCGGCTGGTCACGTGCCTCATCCAAAATTTAGCGCCTGAGGGTGTGTGGGGAAAGTATCAAATTACATAAACATGCTTCCAGTGGAATATTCGTTAAAAACATAAATTTTGCGAATTATTATGTTCAAAATACTTGCTAATTTTTGTTTATTTTCTTTGCTTTGAATTTACAAGAACATTCTTACATTCTTACTTACAGTCAAGTCAAGAAACAAAGCAAATCGCAGTACGTGTTCTCTCGTGTTGTTATTCAATGCATGCTCTCTTCACAATCGAGCGCGGTTATACAGTAACAAACCTCTTTTAATATTGTAATGTTTTTAAAATACGCCATTACATTCGTCCTTTCTTGTAAACGTTGATACGCTTTGTACCAATTTACTTGTTACTACGCGTCTTGTTTATAAGATTTTTAAAAAAAACAGTATTGTCTAGGACTGAGTCGACTGACCCAATATTAGCAAATGTAAACATTTGATAATAGCCGAACAGAGAAATGTCTATAACTGAGTATAGAGAAAATTTCAGTCATTGATTTATCTGGATTTAGTACATAATTCGTATTCGGTAATTATAGTAAGACTTTAGCCTTTTTTTGGTCTCTATTAATCATTATATTGTGTTAACATACTATAATCTATATCACAAATTTACAGTGTCAGATGCGCACAGACCGTCATTGGCATCATACGAACAGTGCCTTTTTTAACTATAT